AACTTCTCCCCTAAAAGAGACCCAAGTCATCCATGGTAATCCAAGTCCTACACTTACTCTCCACCGCCTGTTACCTACCCTCATTCTTACAGAAGCTCAGGTCTTGGCTCCCTCTCTATTATAGCTCTTGATATTGCTTTCCAAGCAGCTCTGAAATGCATGAAAGCACGTTTGTTTTGTTTTTGTTTGTTTTTACCGAAAATTTCTAGGTGTTTTATTGCAAAAGCTTCTCAAATTTTCTGTCTTATCCCTCTGGGAACATTGTGTATAGATTTCCCCTGTGTACAGAGGATTCATTCAGACACCAGAGGGAGTCTTTGCTAGATTTGTGACTCCATTTTCAGTGCCTCCCTCTCTTTGGTTGTGGGCCCACTTCTGAGAGGTTATGGAATAATGGAAAATAAGCTGAGAGGTTATGGAATAATGGAAAGTGACAGCTTGGGACTTTTACCATCTGGGACTAAGGCCCAATATGAAATGACTTGCCCAAGGGTAGACACACTCCATGTAGCATGATAAGACACAGCTGAAAGCTCTATCCATCTCTTTAACCTTAGAGATGCATTCATCTGCTATTGTTTGATATGATTCTTGTATGAAAAACTATTTGTCTAGCTTTCTCTACACCATATGCTGAAGTCCTCAGACTTTGATTTAATATATCAGAAATCATGTGGCCTTGCTGCCAATAGGATTTTAACACAGGCTTTTGCAATTTCTAGAAGACTCTTTAAATCAATCACAAACAAAGAATATAGAAATATTTCTAAAAAATGAGAGTTAAATACAGGGAAATCCTGGGAAAAAATCAGAATAGCAAAAAAAGAGTCTGGCTAAAGAACAAAAGGTGGACAATAATTGGTTATCTTCAGAAAGGTAGCTGAGACAGATTCAGAAATCAGTACTAGCTAACCTAACAATGTATATCAGGAAACCATAGAACAAAGGTGCCAAGGAGACATCTCTTACTTCTCTAGAGTTCTGATCAGTTTTCATCTCACAAACGAACCTTAGAGTATTGCTTTAGGAAATTTTAGCTGAAAATCCTGAATTAATTATGTTACTAGGTAAATCACACATATGTGGGAAAACACAGCAAAAAGATTAGAAATCTTGAAAGACTGAGAAAAATCTGGTCATTCCTTCAAATACCATGAGATAGTATATGACACACAGCTCAGTCTCTGAATCCAAATGGTTCGACATGACCAACTCGACACAAAGTTTAGGAAAAAAAATAAAACACAAAAAATAATAAATCCCTAGCAGATGGATCCAGAACACAAGAGGAACTCAAGTTCTCCAGAGATAATTTTTCCATGTGTATGGCCATATGTTGCTCTTCTGAGATCCTGGTAGCCCAAACTATTTTACTCTTCCACAGAGATCATCAGCAAGAGTGACAAGGAAGGGCACTTGGATGCTCTCTCGGGAATATAAACTGGAACATCTCTTCTAGCACACAAATTTGCAATATGGGTCAAAATTTAACAGTTCTATCTTTTGATACAGCAACATGACACCTGGGTATAAAGAAATAAGACATTCAAAGAACATTTACAAAATGTTCATCATGACACTATTTATAATAAACACTGGAAATAACCTACATATTCACCATTAGGTGACTGGCTAAATGACACATGTCATCAATGACATACCATGTGACAGAGAAAATAGATAAAGCACTGAACTAATAGAGGTGCCCTTGTTCGAAAAGCCATATGGTCTCAAGCTCATGAGGCTTCGCAGTACCACAGGCAAGCACTGCTGAACAGCCACATAGGGCCAGTGTTCAACAGTGGGACCTTGTTTTAGTCAACTTTTGCACTGCTGTGACCAAAATACCCAACAAGAACAACTTAGAGAGGAAAAGTTCATTTGAGGTTCATGGTTTTATAGGTCTCAGTCCACACATGGCCAACTCCACTGCTCTAGGCCTAAGGTGAGACAATATGTCATGGGGGAAGAGCCCAGCAGAGGAAAGCTGCTCAGCTCCTGGAAGCACCGGAAAGCAGAACTAAGAGAGAAAGGAAGGGGCCTCAGGAAGAACAACCCTTCCAGGGCACGCCCAATGATCTACCTACTTCCAGTGACGCCCGCCTACCTACAGCTACCACCTGTCAGTCCATTCAAACTAGGATGGACCAATCAGATTAAACTCTCATAATCTGATAATTCTACCTCTGAATATTCCTGCATTAACAGAAGCTTTGGAGGTATATTTCATACCCAAACCATTCCACATGACATGACAGTGAGGCTATTAAGGACAACACAGAAGACAGATTTATACTAAGGCTCTGGGTGTGCAAATGCCTCACACTGATGTCTGCCTATGTCTTCACATGACCTTCTTTCTGGAACTTCTCTTTTGTATCAGTGTCTGAGATCTCCCTCTCCTAACTCTTACAAAGACACTAATCTTTCGAATTTAAGAATAACCCTAGATCCATAATTATTTTATTTATGGTTCCTTATCTTAATTTCATCTTTGTAAAGACCCTATTTCCAAATAAGTTCACACTAATAGGTACTGACAATGAGGACTAGGACTTGGACATACTGTTTTGGACATTCAGCCCATTATATCCAGATTCCTCTAATTTTAGCATCTTAAACAACTATATTATAATTATCAGCTAAAATTCAACATTGGTACAATACTATTAAATGCAGATTTATTTGGATATGACCAGTTTTTCTATTGTACATGAAAGCATTAACAAAGTAGGACCAAATTGGTCAAATCTTGCATGTTCCACAGACCAGTCTTCAGAAATGAATCTTGACTGGCTTCTGGAAGGAACCTCTGAGCCCTTGGGGTATTCTGTATGCTAAGAATATTTCTGGTTGCTTGCAGTGAGGCCTTGGCCACACTTATTAGACTTACTAGGTTGTTTATGCTAACCACATGATTTATGGGGAGAATCTGTTTCTATGTCTGTGCTTTAAGTTACCCCATATTGGTTTGACCTTTGGGAGGTGCTTTAGACAAAACAGCTAAGGTCAATCATAAGAGCACTGCATGTGGAAAGGACTGCTCCTGGATATAAACGTGGACACAGGTTTAGGGGAGCATGGTTAACATCAGTACGATCATACATCGTCCCTAGGAGAATTAAAAATTTCTGTGCAACCTCATTGGGAGAGGACGGCAAGAGTTGTGCCTGGTCCCTCCTGGACTTTTCCTCATTTGCATTTTCCCTTTGCTGAGCTTAAACCTAATCCTTGCACAGTAATAAACTGTAACATGATTATAACAGCTTTTTCATGTCCTGGTGAATCCTTATGGGGTCGCTGAACTTGATGGTAGTCTTGGATACCTCCCTAACATTCACTAATGGCCTGCTTTCTGTTCCCACATTAAATCCAGAATGTCCTTTGTCTCTTCAATCAGTGATGTTTTAGTCAGATTTTTTGTTCTGTGACTAAGTGACCTGAACAGCACAACTGAAGAGGAGGAAAAGTATATTTGAGGGTCCATAGTTTCAGAGGTCTCAATCATAGAAGAACAGCTCCATTCTTTGGAGCTCAAGGTAAGGCAGGACATCATGGAAGAAGAGTGTGGCAGAGGGAAGCAGCTCATATGTTGATCAGAAAAGAGGGAGAGACTCCTATTGCCAGATACTAATATACATCCAAAGCCACACCCCAATTTCCACCTCCTCCAACCACTTCCTGGAACTTCAGTTACCACTTTGTTAATCCATATAAGGGGATTAAAATCACTGATTGGGATAAGACTCTCACAACCCAATCATTTCTCCTCTAAACCTTCTTGCATTGTCTCATACATGAGCTTTTGGGGGACACCACACGTGAATCACAACATTCTTCCCCTGGCCCCAAAAGCTCACAACCATCTCACAATGCAAAATACATTTGTTCCCAAGAGTTCTCACAGCCTCAGCAGTTTTAGGATTGCTCAAAGTTCAAGTCCAATGACTTCTCTGAAGCTCAAAGAAATCTCTCATTGTGAGCTTCTATAAAATTAAAAGCAGCTTACAAATATCCAATATATAATGGTACAGAGTAAACATTTCCATCCACAAAATTAGGGACATAGAAAGAATGGATAGGATCAAAACAAAGCACGTGGATATGTCTTTCTTATGGTGATGCTAGAAACGTAAGAAGCCAAAGGGGTTGAGGCAAGGGTGGGGGGGGAAAGGGAAGGAAAACCATACAATGTCTCTTGAGGCCTACACTCTGAATAGGACCCTTTTCATTTCTATCTTGTTCTATTGGCCAAGAAAGTTACATGGCCAAACCCAGATTCAAGAGGCAGAGAGATGATTCCACCTTTTATTCTAAGGGGAACTACCTAGTCACATGCCAAGAGCTTAACTGCTGGAAAGAGTGAAAAAATGGGGCCATGAATACAATTTTCTTCAGACACCATAAAGAGGAAAAAGACAACCCAGAGAATGGGACAGGTTTGTCACCATGTAACCATAGCACCCATTTTATAGTTTACTCCTTCCCTTGTTTTATGCTACAATATTGTAGAAAACACACTACTCTTACTGATTCATTTCATTATTAATGGATAGTCATGTTGTTTCTAGGTCGGAGCTACAATGACAAATGCTGCCAGGTATCTTGAAACACGTGGGCACACATTTCTGTTGCATATGTGCCTGTCAGGGAGTGGAATTGGTTGGATCATGAGATATGCACATTTTCACTTTAGGTAAATAATGCTAAACTCTTTCCCCAATGCTCAGGTCACTTTACACCCTCACCAGCAGTATATGAGATTCCTGTTGTACAACATTCTAGACAAAGTTTGGTGAGGGAGTTGATTTCTGTATATGGTGTTAGGCAGAAATAAATTGTACTCTAAAAAATAACATGGTAAACTAATGATCTCCTATCCTCTTATTGCAAATACAGACCTGTCCCACCCTCAGACCTGTCCCACCCTCTTCTATCATTTAGATGTTTCTAAATTATTTTTGTATACACAGTCTATTTTTTTGTGAACCAATATAAATTATTTAAATATCATTTTTTTATATTTCTTGATATCTAGTAGAGAAATACTTCCAATTTTTTGGTTTTATTCAAAATTGTCTTGGTTGTTTTTAATTTACACACTACAAAATTTACCCCTTTGTCTATAGTTCTGCTACTTTGTTTTGTGTGTACTGGGAATTGAACCAAGGGTTGCTTTACACAGACCTACATGCCAAGCTTGCTATGAATTTTAAGACAGGGTCTAAGTTGCTTAGGGACTCACTAAGTTGCTGAGACTGGCTTCAATTAGTAATCCTATTGCCTCAACCTCCCAGTTTCTTGAATCACAGGTGTATACTGGCCATCAGTTCTGCTACTTCTGATGAAAATATAGTCAGGTTATCACAATCCAGATTCAGTTCCCTAAAGAACACAGTCTCCCTGTTGTGCTTAGTGGTAGAGAGTTTGCCTATCCTGCACAAGAGCCTGGGTTCAATGTACCAGCACAGCAAAGAAACAATTCCCCTGGGATTCTCTGTAGTTCACCTCTGTCTCTCTACCTCCAGCCCCATGGCATCCAATGGTCTGTCTTCTCTTTTCCAAAAGCCATGTGAGTGGAACCAAAAGCCATGTGAGTGGAATCATGTACTATGAAGCCTTTTGAATCTGTTTTTTCCTTTAGCATAAAGTATTTGATTTTCTTCCATGTTTGTTTATACCAGACTTCATGTTATTGCCGAGAAGCATTTTACAGAAGCATTTTACAGTATGGACATACCATAGTTTGCTTATCCATTCGACAGCTAAATGACAATTGAATTGTTTCCAGATTGAGGTGATTACAAATAAAGCAACTATAAACATTTATTTTGAACAATACTTTTATTACAAAATTTGAAAAATATTTAAGAAACGCCTCAGGAAAATGGGAGAAAGGACAGAGGAGCAGTGCAGGGGGGAGTGTCCCAGGGGAGCCGTCTCTGATGTCTTCTGCAGGTGGGGGCAGAGGAGACTCCTGATGTCCAGGTGGATGCAGAAGTGCTCTGGGCTGGAACCCGTGCAGAGACACCTGAGGTAGTTGGCACATCTTCTCCTGCAGCTGTTCAGAGTCCACTTGATTGAGGCCCCAAACAAGGTGTCAGGATCCACAGAGAACAGGGTCCTCTGGCTGCCCCCTGGTATTGTCTGGTCAGCTCTCTCCTTCACTGGAGCCACACTTCATGAATCTGGCAGGGTTCTGCCCTCTTACATTGGAGCCACCCCATTGCTGACACGTGGTATGCAACAGCACAGTTGTCGGACACAGGTAGCAATCCCCCTAGTTACCCGCTTCCAGAGCTTTCTGCTGGTGTGGAGTTGCCCAGAGTCAGACTGGGAGGCTAATCCAGGTGTGGGGGTTCTTGCAGGCGGGAAGTGGAAGTGAATAGGCGGCTGGCTGGCCCTCCTGATATGCTTCTGCCCTAAGCGTTTGGCCTCCTCAGGCAGAGGAAGCTCACAGGGCAAGGAGAAGGTGTGAAGGGCAGGCTCACTGGGGCTCCTTATTGGGAGGACAGGGGAATGGGAAGAATCCAGGGGACATGGCTGAGGCTTAACCATGGGAGGCACAGGCTTCCCCTGGAACATGAAGCCCTTCCCCTGGTTTTTCTGGTGCTGGAGTAAGAGGTAGGTAGCCATGGCTCCATTGAACTTTCTCTTGGCCAGGGACACCCAGGTCTTGCGTAGATCATAACCCATATCAAACATTATGGTCAGTATTTCGGGGTCTGGGTGTTTGAGGAGTGCCTCATGATGAGGGGGTAAATGCTGCTCACCCTGCATCAGCCATATGTGCCGAAGGATCTGCTTGGCTGTGGGCCGCTTCCTGGGGTCCAGGGTCAGCATTTGGTAAATGAGCATCTGTGCTGCCAGAGAAACGTGGGGAGGGTCACGGTACAATCCCAGCACGATCTGCCGCATTGTCTCCTTACGGGTGGATCCCATAAATGGGAGCTTCCCTGTCAACATAAAATACAGAGTGACGCCCAGGCTCCAGATGTCCACTGGGGGGCCCTCATATGCTTTCCTCTGGATAATTTCGGGGGCAATGTATGAGAGAGTGCCCCAGGACTCCTTCAGTTTCTGGCCGGGTGTGACCCAGGTGCTGAAGCCAAAATCAATAAGTTTGATGTGACCTTTGGCATCCAGCATGATGTTCTTTGGCTTCAGGTCTCGGTGCACCATGCCCTTGTCATGGCAGTAGGCTACGGCACACACTACCTCCCGGAACAGTCTGCGCGCCTCTTCCTCCTGCATGCCACCCAGCGGGATTTGGTCCAATAGCTGGCCCCCATCTGCGTGCTCCATCACCAGGTAGATATTTCTGCGGGTCTCAACGACCTGAAATAACTGGATTATGTTGGGATGCTCCAGGCTCCTCATCATATCCGGTTCGGAGAGGACCTGGAGTTTCTGCCCTTTCTTCTGCAGGACTTTCACTGCCACCTGCGCCCCAGTGAGGCAATGGCGGGCTAGTTTGATCTGGCCAAACCCACCATGCCCAATGTCCCTCAGGACCTCATACTGGTCCCTCAGGACTGTAGTCTTGCAGGAGCTAGGCCCCTGCCCCACTCCACTACTCTCACTACTCTGGCTATCCATCCTAAGCAGGAACACCAACTAAGGATGCTAGCTTAAAAAAAAATAACAGACTAAAACAACAAACCCAAATCAAAAACAAAAACAAGACAAAACAACAAACCCAAATCAAAGAACCAATATCCAAAGACCACCACCAACAACTGCCAACCACCAACCACCAAACACGCTAACTATCTGGGAGTCCGACAGGTCACCACCAAGAGCTTCCTGTACTTGTGGACAAAAACTCAGCCAAAGCCACTCTCTTATATACCTACATTTTGACACTTGCTCACAATGGCTCATTGTGACATCAGAGGAAGCAATGGCCCAGGCATGCCTGGCCATAACTCCCAGTGGTCATTTCCTTTTTGGGCCTCCAGAACTGCTTTCATTTTCAGAATAGGAATAAGGAGCTCCAGACATTTTTTTTTTTTTTGCTTTATTGGGTAATAGAGACTGATATATACTTGTTTAGAAATTAGTATTTCTACAGAAGTTCAATGTACTTTTGATTTTCATTTGAAAAATCTCTAATAACTCTGACTTTGTAAGATATCTACACTCAAGATATTCAATTCCTTTTTTCTTCCAACTTCTAATAACTGCTGTTTAAAGGTTGGTAGTGCTTCAGTCACATGTGATACTGTGACAAAATTTTCTGTTCCCTAAGACACCACATAGCACCTATGGGGGTTAGATGGGGAAAAGTTTCTCATAATTTCTCCATACAATCCTACACACAATGCATATGCGTTCCAAGGTGACACTAGTAATTGATGGGGATGGGTAGAGATGCACAAGAACAGCATTTTGTGGTACTGATGCTGAGGGAAACTGACTGGTCCAGAAGCATCAAGCAGCACTCAAGGGGAAGAACTCCAAATTTTATTTTACAGCAGTGGGCCCAGAGGAAAACAAAACTACAAATTCTGAGCCCCTATGCCCAGTTTTTTTTTTTCACAATATTTATAGGTATCTAGTGTCATAAATTTTCTAGCCTACCTGACATAGAATTGTGCAAGTGGTTTCTAGAGGTAGCATGTTTACAGAAGCAGAGTGTGATATGGGGAAGAATTGGCTCCTCTTACAAGGCCTTTCATAAATCTCTAGTTTTGAGCCCAGAGCCTTCATAGGTTCATTTACACTTCAAAAGGGAGGAGGCCAACTACCAGGAGAAGTTATCTACAATGCAGAAGGTAGGGACCCATGGTCCATCAGGATTCCTGAAGAAAGGCTGGGGGGTGGGGTGGGACATTGGTTTATTACAATAACATTTTTATAATTTCATTTAATAAACAAGTCTGGTTTTGTCATCACCCTGGAGTTATGTGGCTCTAGGTTCACATTGGAGGTGGTTCTCCATCTCATGGTAAAGGGATGCCCAGGGACACTGCACAGACATATCCCTAGGACATCCATAAAATAAAAAGGATGGAAATTCAAATATTTTACATAGAAAATCTATTAGATAGGAAAGAAGATAATCAGGATATAAGGCACAGTGGATCAGTAGCCTTCCCTTCTCTCCTTATAAAGTCACATGTCTCACTGAAACAACAGCTTGCCCTATTCTCTTATGACCCCATCTTAGGTGATTACATCATAATATTGCTATTTCTGAAAAAAAGGCCTTATTCCTAGGTGCAGGATTAGAACCTATACAATGGCTCTGAGATATATAATTAAATCATAACTTGCTCCATTCCAATTTTTCTAAGAGCTTTTATCCATAGTTGTGGAATTTTGTCATACATCCACCCATTCAATCATCTGACATCCTGGGCTCATGAATGAAGTGCCTATCTTTAGCGGGTATGGTCTTGCCAAGTCTTGATGCCCATGACCCACTAATCCTTCTCTTGGTCACCTCTTAACAATTCTACCAGCCAACATCAGCACACTGAGGACAAAGCTGCCAATACACGAACCCTCTTTGAGGGAAGGAGGGGGACACTATTTCCTTAATAGGCTGTTGATGTCTTCAGGGTCTGTCATAATTAATATTCCATTTAATACTTGATGTTGAAAATTTGTCTCTTTTTTCCTTCATTGATGTTATTAAAAATTTGTGAATTTTATTAATCATTTCAAGCAAGCAGCTCTTTGTCTCCTTGATTTCTTCCATTGTCTCTAATTAATTTAATTAATCTCTGCTCTGATCTACATTAATTCTTTCTTCTGCTTCATTTTGGTTCAAACACCCTGCCCTCAACACCCAAGATTTCTCAGGTGGTAAAAATGATTATTAAATTGTGCCTACTCCTCATTTCTAATGTGGTTTTAATGCTATTAATTTCCAAGTACTGCTTTAGATGTGTTCTGCAAATTTTTAAATATTTTTCACTAGGTTCAGTGTCTATTTTACTTTCTTGGGAAATTTCTTGACTAATAGAATATTTAGAATTATGCTTTTTTCCCAAGGTTTTGGAAGTTTTCTTTTATCTTACTGTTTTCTAGTTTGAGTTTTTCGTGGTGAAAGAACACACTGAGTATAATTTCAATTTAGCAACTTTGCTTCATGGTGTGGGTAATGGTTTATATTGACTTTTTTTTCTTCAATGGGTTATAGAGACTGATATTTACTTGTTTAAAAATTAAAATTTGTACAATAATTCAATGGACTTGTCATTGGGAGTCTAATTTTTAAAAATAAATTTGGGCTTTGGAAGGCCTCATCATATCTACACTTGAGGTATTCAATTCCTTTTTATTCCTAATAATTGGTGTCAAAAAGATGGGAGCATCTCACTCATATCGCATACCAAAATGCTCTGTTGCCTAAGACATTGTAGAGCACATTCTTAATACCAATGGTATTGAGACGAAGGAAGGATTTATCTTAATTTCCCCATATTGCCCTTGTGTGATTTCTCATTATAAGCTGGTTTCAGAGGTCTCAGTTTTTGGTCAGCTGGCTCCATTCCTTGGGGATTGAGAGTGAAGCAGGACATCATGGTGGAAGAGTGTGGCAGAGGGAAGTTTTCACATGATGATCAGTAAGCAGAGCCATAGGATCTTCAAGCATGTGTTTAAGAACTCTTACCCAAACTCTGAGGTCACAATGTAACAAAGATTTGCTCTATTTCTTGTAATATTTGTATAACTTTACATTTTAGCTCATAAATCCATTTAGAGATAATTCTTGAATAAGGTTTACTGTGAAGATCAAGGATTTTAATGCTTGGGAATTTTTTAATTTTTTTTGTAGCATATCGATATTCAGTTGTTCTTACACTCTTTTTTGGAAAGGATATCTTTTCTTCCTTGAATTATCTTTACACCTCTAGCAAGAAGCAATTAACACCACACATGTGGGTCTATTTTTGGGCTCCATTACAGTACATGTGTGTGCTTTTCTCTAGTACCATGCATCAGTTTTCTAGGATTCTGTAATCCAATAGTATCAGTTTTTCAATTGTGTTCTCACCTTCCAAAATTGTTTCATCTATTCTTGTTCTTTCATGTTTCTAAAAGGGAAAAAAATGCTTGTTAATTACTACTATGAAAAATTTTTATTTTCTCTGGGAATATTGATTGGAATTTTGTTGAATTCATATATAAATGTGCAAAAAATTGAGATAATTAAAAATATCAAGTCTTCCAATCCATAACCCTTTTATATAACATTCTATTATTTATTTACTTGCTCAATTTCCTCAATGTTTTGTACAATATATTCAGATTTTGCACATATTTAGTTAAGATTTATTTCTAAGTATTTCATGGAGTTTTTAGTGATATTATAAACAATATCTTTTTTGGGGGGAGGGTGGACATGGGGAATTGAATCCAATAGTGTTCTAATACTGAGCTACATCTGAGCCATTTTTATTCTTTATTTTGAGACAAGGTGCTGCTATGTTGTCAAGTCTGGCCTTGAACTTGTTATCCCTCCTGAGTTGCTGAGATTACAGGCATGCACCACTAGGCCTTTATTTAAAATAATACTTTACAAAGGTTAATTTCAACTTTAATTTATTTTTATGAAAATGTTCTTGTAGCCTATGAACTTGCTTGTGTACTTTCTTCCTCAGCTTCCCCAGTCACTGGATTACTGAAATGTACTCCCATGCCTGGCTTTTGTGTTTATTAGAAGGGGTTTAACTACAAGTTGAACTGTTTGAAGAAAATACACAGAACCAATCTTATTATCTCATTCTTCTTGAATATATTTTGGCAGTTTGTGTCTTTCAGGTGATTTGTTCCTTTGCTAACTTGCTGAATTTATGGTCATAGACTAGTTCACAAGGTCCTTTATCATCCTTTCATGGCCACTCTTTCATTACTAATAATTTCATTGTTTTTGCAGTGCTGGGGATTGAACTCAAGACCTTGAGCATGGTAAGTACATACTCTACCACTGAGCTACGTCTCCAGCTCATTCCTGATATTTTTAATTTGTGTCTTTCTTGTTTCCTTTGTCAATTTGATTCATTTTTTCAATTAATTGCTTTTGCTTTTGTTGATTTTTTTTCTTTTTGCTCTAATTCTTTCATTCTGGGTTTCATTGATTTCTGCATTTATTTTATTTTCCCTTCCTTATGTTGCTTTTGGTTTATTTTATTTTTTGTAGTGCTGGTCTAATGACGCTGAATTTTTTTGTTTTGTTTTTGTATATCTTGTCTTTATCTCTTCTTTTTTGTTCATTTGTTTTTAAATAAAATTCACAAAATAAAATGTAGTGGCATTTAGTACACTTGCAATTTTGTAGGATCATCATCTCTCTCTTGTTCCAACATATTTTAATCACCCTTACAGAAAGTGTTAAAACCATTAAGAAGTCACCTTCCATTTCCTCTCCACATAACCCATGCAGAGCTCTAGTCCAACATCTGTCTCTATGGATTTATATTTTTATGGTGTTCCATATGAATGGGATCATAGCTTCTTTCACAAAGCATATAGTTTTCAAAGTTCATTCATATTGTAGTAGGTGTGAGTACTTTAATCTTTTTTATGCTTAAATAATATTCTATTGTATAGATATGTCACATTTTTTAAATTCATTTTTCAACTGTTTTTACCTCTTTCCTACTGTATAAAGTGCTTGTTATGGTTTGGATATGAGGTGTTCACCCAAAAGCTCATGTGTTGGACAATGCAAGCATGTTCAGAGGTGAAATGATTAGATTATGAGAGCGACACCTACATAGATACAATAATCCATTTGATGGATTAATAATTAAATGGATTATTGGGTAGTAACTGTAGGCACATGGGGCATGGCAGGAAGAGGTCCTGGGGCATGCCCTTAGGAATTATATTTGTCCCCAGCTCATTGTCTCCCTCTACTTCCTGGCTCCTGTGAGCTAAAAAGCTCTCTTCCACCACACACACACTCTGCCATGATGTTTAGTCTCATCTTGGGCCCAAAGCAATGGAATTGGCCAACTATAGACTAAGACCTCTGAAACTGTAAGCTCAAAATAAAAATTGTCTCCTTCATATTATTCTTGTTAGGTTTGTGGTTATAGGAATGAAAAACTGACTAGCAATGCTGAATTGAACATTCATCTGCAAACGTTTGTTTGATTCCCTTTCAGTTACACCTAAGAACAGAACTGCTGGTTCATATGGTAAAACTAAGTTTAACTTTTTGAGAAACCATCCAACCAATTACCATAGCAGCTGTGCCATTTTACATTTCTACCAGCAAAATACAAATATTCCAGCTTTTTTCCATATCCTCTCCAATACTTGTTATTTTCTGATTTTTTTAAAAAAAATATAACAAAGTAGTAAATGTGATGTAATCTCTCATTGTGGTTTTGGTTTGCAATTCCCTAGTGACTAATGATGTTTAGTATCTTTCCTTGTAATGTTGATCATTTCTATGTCTTGTATGGAAAAATGACTCAAATTTTTGTCCATTTTTAAATTAAATTCTTTGTCTTTTTGTTCTTGAGTTGAATGCTATCAGTTTCATTCCTTTCAACATGTTTATATAGAGAAGTATAATATAGAAGTATGTAGAGATATAGATAGACACTGATATAGATGCACATATCCTGTGTTATATTTTCATTCTCTCAATGGTGTCCTTAGATTCAATTTTGATAAAATCTAATTTATTCCTTTTTTTCCTTTCCTTACATGTACTTTGATGATACAGCTAAGAAATCATCTACTAGTTCAAGATCTTGAATATTATCTATGATTTATTCTAAGAGTTTGAGTTTTACCTTTTATATTCATTCCTTTGATTCATTTTTGAGTTAATTTTTGTATATTGTGAAAAGTAAGGTCCAACTTCATTCTTTTGCATTTAGATACCCAGTGTACTTAGTATCGTTTATTGAAACAAACATTATTTTATCATTAAATGAGGAAAAGTTTGTTTCAAGGCTTATGGTTTCAGAAGTCTTAGTCCATGGAAGGCTATCTCCATTCCTTGGGGCTTGAGGTGAGGCAGAACATCATGGATGAAGAGTGTACATATGAAGCAGTTCACAGGGTGATCAGCAAGCAGAGAGAGATAATTTCCCCTACCAGATACAAAATATATACCCCCAAATCATGCCCCCAATGTCTCACCTCCTCCAGCCACACCCTATCAGCCTTCAGTTATAAGTCATTT